ATGGCTCTCAGAGAAATCAAGTAGCATTGGCAGGGGTGAGCTGAGCTTCAAGAAGCCATGCAGGACTTCAGAACAGAGCTGCTCTCCCGGTGGCTACTCCTGCAGCTTTGCAAATGCTGGTGGGGCTGGTCTGGTGGATCTGTTCCCCCATGCCAATCTGGGTGCTGTCCATGTTAGCTGCCTGTCATGTTGAAAACCATCTGGTGAGCACACCCCAAACACAGAGAACCTGCTCATGCTCCTCTATGAGGCGAAAATGTGATTCCCAAACAGATAAAACTCAAAACTCTTTCCTCTTTCCCCCATAGCCCCCAGTAGTCAAGTTACCTAAGAACAGTATTTCAAAAGGAAAGCAATGGAGAAATTAGGCATTGATGCCGTTTTCCTTTCTGGGTATGTTGGATATTTTCCAGTTGCTCCTCCATATTCACTCTTGGTCCTTCTCAACCTTGCCCTGAGACTTGGGAGGCTGACCTCGGACCTCCAATGTGGGCTGAAGAACAGAATCTCCAGCTTCCAGTTGGGTTGGGCCAGTGGCAGACCCTGGCAGGAGATCAGAAAGAGAGTCGGGTCCGGTACTTATTCCCCAGCTCCCTCTGTCCTAGACCATGGGTTGGCTGTGTCCCTCCACTGAAGGCCACAGATGGCTTCTGTCGGGTAGCCTGCTCCTAGGAGTGGTAATAACTTCCAAACATTGCTAGCCCTGGGATTCTGTACCATCCCATGTCATATTTCCTTAACTCTTACACCTTTTACAAATCACCCCTTGAACTATCCTCAGTTATCCTGTTGGAAGGTGCCATTGGTTTCTCTTCCACCTCATCACCATCTCTCTGGTGCCAGGATCCATTCTCAGTTTCCATCCTTGGTGACTGGGCCATTGAATAGGCACGTGGGGTGATTCAGATGAGTGGAGCAGAGCCTCAGGGCACAGACGGGCATCTCTCCTACTGAAAGATCAGTTGGCAACATGCTGAGGCCTGCTACTAGGAAGCCTATACCAGAGGGCAACTGTCGCCCATACATGTATTCCTAACAGAAAAACTTAGCTTTGGCCCACACCTAACGTCTTCCTTTGAGATGTTTTTCAGCTGAGCTGGGCTTCCGCCTCAGAGAAATCATAGCTACAAACTACAAACTGCTCTAAACCAGCTCTAACCTGACCACAGGAGCAGTCCCTGTGACGAGGGACTTGGAGGTGACCTGAAGTTGCCTCTGCTTCATCACCATACGCAAACCTCCCCTCCTGCAAACCTTGCTAGGCACATTTGGTGTGGTGCTCAAGGATTATGCATGCACCAACTGGCCTTTGAAGTCTCCACCCCTTCCCACCCCCCCCCCCGCCCCCCAGGGAACCGTGGTGACGCCACGACCCTTACCCTTTAAAAGTTCCCCATTTCCCTGTCTTTGGGGAGAAGGTGTTTTAGAGAATGGGCTCTCCCTTCTCCATTCCTTGATTTCCTTGATCAACAAATAAAGTTTCTGCTCTGCTATTCTGAATGCAGTCTCATTTTTTTGGCAAGAGTGACTCTGGGCAAAAGGACCCACTTGTAGGTCACCTGTCCCTTAGGGCTCAGCCCCTTGGCACAGCAGCCTGCAGCATGCACTCCAATGGCAGCAGATGGTCTTCATGCCATTGACCCCACATCACCCAGGTTCTCTGGTGCTCTTGAAATGATGCAGGGTCGGTGAGCCGAGGAGTCGAAAGAAAGATTTCTTAGACTCTCAAGATCTGGCAGTAGTGCTCTTTTATTTAGAGAATAGTGTGGAATAGCATGGGGACAGGACCCATGGGCAGTCAGAGCTTCTGCTGCTGCCGCTTCTGCTGCCCCCGCTGGCATGGGGACAGAGCCCCTGGGCAGTCAGAGCCGCTGCTGCTGCCCCCGCTGGCATGGGGACAGGACCCATGGGCAGGCAGAGCTGGTGTGTGGGGACAGGACCCACGGGCAGTCAGAGCTCCTGCTGCTGCCCCAAGTTGAGGGTTAGGGCTAAATTTAAGGCATAGGTATATGATTCATCTCTTTACAAGACAAAGGAAAG